AAGAGTTGCAATAAAGGTGGTGCATAGTGCGATTCTCTATTCAGTTATTTGTCTGTTAATAGTTGTGTAATAGAGAGGGCTTGGAGAAATTCTTCTTATTTGACTCAAGTCAGCTTGTGGGAGAGTTTAGTTTACATTCTGACTGCTAACTTTTTTAGCATTTCCTAAATGGAAATAAAGTGTTACTTGATTGTTCTGAGAGTAAAATCTGTTTGCTTGCAATCCAGGGTAGTTAATCAAGGTCAAGTTGAGAATGAGACTAGAACGTTAATTGCTTATAACAGTGCTGCCTTGGCTGAAACGTAAGAAGTGTATAATTAATTTTTACCTTTAATTGGATAAGTTATCTGAAGCCCCGTCATTTGTTCTTGTAGTTCCTGGATAACCTAGGCAATGATATTGACCTAAATTCCTCCTTGTTCAGGAAAGAGAGCAGTCTCTTAATTTATTTGTAGGGGATGTTACATTCTGCGTAACTGCCTCTTCGATATGTAACTTCATCTCTGGAAACTAAATGCTGCCTGTGGCTGTAATTTATCAGACCTTGACATAGTGGACATTGTCACTATAGAGAAGCCATCCTGCCACTTCTGTCCTTGTTTCTGCCCATATGGCACTGTCCCCCGCAGATGTGAGTGCTTGGGCTACGGCCCTGGGAGCTGAACTAAAGAATGTGCACGGGGGAGAGTTTATTGTTCGGCCCTGCAAGTGGCTGTCCTCAGTATTTAAGCCATGTTCTTGATTCTTGCCCATTTGTGTGTGTGTGGGTGTTTTTTTTTTTGTTGTTGTTGTTAAGAGTTATTTTCATTCTACTGTTACATTTGTGTTGAGAAGTCTCGAGAAGCATCTGTAGCACTTCAGTCAGCAGTCACACACGTTTACTCTTTATTACTTCATTCCTTACCAGTTTCAAACTTATCTTCTTTGCTTGCCCACAGAGTTTTTTTGTCTTGTGCTTCCTGTACAAAGAGACTTTCTTCAGGTAAGAAATATTGACTTAGTGCTCCCATTTTATGCATACTGTCTAAATGCCAGTAGCCACATGGCCTATATCTTCCAAAGAACTTGTTGGCACTAGTGAATTTTCAGGCTGTGTTCTTGCAAAAAAAGCTTTTTTATTATTATTATGTAGTCACCAAATTTAAATGATCACTTATGTGCACATGTATAGTGTGGTTACTCTCACTGACTGCCTGACTGCAGATGCATATACAAATATGTTATTTTGTGCAATGTAATATATACTGTTTTTTTTTTAACTGGGCTTGAGTACTTCTGGCTAGCCTTGTCTGAATACATCCAGCTGAAGTGTGCCTTGCCTGTTCACATTTGGGTCAATTTCCAAAATTGAGCAAAAGTCTATCTATGTTTCTAGTGAAGTACCAGGTACCATGTTAGTGAAGTACCATGTTTTTTTCTTTTTTTAAAGTGTAGTGTTTTGTGCATTTTTTTAATGAAGTCGTCACAGAGAGCTTTCTTACTCTTGCTGCTGAGGTTAAAACACTATTGTTTAAAAAAAGCTTTAAAAAAAAAAGCTTTAAGAAAATATTCTCCAATTCCACATAGTGCAGTAGATTGCCTTGCTCTTTCTATAGGAAAAACTATCTTGAGCATATTTACAGCTCCAGCTATAGAACTGAGCATCTTTACCCTGCGGGCATGGTAGGTATTGCTTTTGCTTCAGTTGGGATCTTTAATTAGGTTTAACACTGAAATCTAAACCAGGTCTGTAGCATAGTAGAGGTTCCAAACACAACAGACCCTTCACAGCTCCTCACCGAACTGGAAGATGCCAGTGACTTGGTCCCTAGTATTTTGATCCCTAGTCCTCTGCCAAGCTTGCAGCTCTCTTGTTGGCGTTGCTGTTGTCAGCCTTCAGAAACGGGCACTCATCTCTCCACTGTCCTTTCCATCCCTGCATTGCTAGATGAGTCTAGAAGCAGCCTCTGAGTGTATCCCTTTCCTTTCTTTAATAAAAAAGCTTTCGCTTCTTCCTTACGGTGTGGAACACCTTCAGATCCTCTGTCTGCTTCATGGCATCAACAAAATACCAAGCCCTTTATCAAGAAGTAGGGTGACCTTGATCCTGCCCAGTCAGAAAGCGGTCAGGGAATGAAGTTGCCGATGCTGTGTCTGGCTGTTAGGACAGTATTCACCGACTGGCTGTAAACAGTGACTGAGGGGGTTTTCAGCAGCCGGTACCTCAGGGGGTGTAAATTAGTTGTGGAAAATGGCTCTTTGAAACTTTCTATATATAGATATATATAGATATATGTATCTATATATATGTTTCTTTCTGTTTCTTTAAGGTGTTTTTTTTTTTTTTTTTTGTACTTTCCTACTCAGTCCTTTCATCTTAGTCTTGTTACTCTTCTGATAGTTACAGTACGTTTTGATGCTCACTGATGAGAATAATATTATGTTCAACAATTTACTACAAATGCTGTTTGAATATCCAGAGCAATCTCGAAGCCAGGCCTGGGATGGCTGGTCCAAACCAAAGAGTTTGGTGACCACTAGATAGCCTTAAATGCTAAATTTCTGTGCTGCTGTAAACTACTTCTGTCTGCATTTCTTAAAGCTCAGAAATGGTGTGGTAAATGGCATGATTTAGTAAAGCTGTGGTCATCTGTGATCTTGTAAAAACGGGCTTTTCTGGAATACCAAGCTGTTCCTTTCAGAAATGTTGTAGATGATAGTATGTAAATGTCACTTAAGAGTTAAATATTTGTACTGGCTTTAAAGCTTTGACATCATTTGAAAAACAGTATTACATTCAGTAATCTAGATGTTGTGACCAAATGTGCTTTTGTTTGTTTGTTTTTCTTGCAGCCTCTGAGGAAGTGTAGCACAGGAATGAGAATCTGTCCCCTTCTTTCCTTCTCTGTTTTCTTCTTTTTTTTGCAAAAAGTGGTATGTCTCCATAGGCGTCCTCTAGGCAGGACTGAAGGGTCTTTTTGAGGACAGTAACAGTGCATTTGGCCCGAGGCAGTGTTTATTCTTATACAGTGCTAATATTCTTTTCAATTCAAGTTTCAATCAGGAAAAACTGCGTTGGGGCACCTGATCTGTAGGCTGAGCTAGGCTTCCCAGAGCAATGCAGGCCTGCAGTCTGATCTCTGTCACTCTTCTGAAGTCTGCAGGAGTCTCATATATGGAATGGAGTGTGGTTTGTGCATGAAGAAGCAGTTCTGAAGAAGCACAGAGTTTACCCGCGACCTAACTGCGGATTGCTCTGCTGTGCATGTGGCGCCTTAGTCCGTGCAGCCGAGGAGGTCTCGGTGACGGGGAGCGCTCTGGCCTTCTCTCCGCCGCTCGCTTGCGTGGCGCGCGGCAGCCGGGGCTGGCACGAGGAGCCTTGTCGTGACCGTCGAGCGCTTCCACGAGAGGCTCCGAGCACCAGGAGCCTGCGGGGTGTTTTGGTGGTTACACGGCTGGACTCTTAATCTGCTTGAGAGAGTTCTTGCAGCTCAAGATGTTAACTTGTGCCTCAGAGTGCACTTCACACTGAGTTTGTCTTTTTTTCTTGACCAAGACCTAGAACCATGGGGGTGTTGGAAATCTAAAGTTGATAAAAATTTTTCAATGAAAGAATTATCGGTTCTTTTTTTCTGGCTACTCTTTTGTGGCTGTTTATTCTTTCTAAATGCAAGAATATTAGTTTTGCATCTCTTAATTAAAATGAGCTTCTTTAATAAAACCTATGCTTTTTGAATATTTAACACAGTTACATTTCTGATATAAGTCCTACTAAATTAGAGTGTATCTGTAATTTAAGCTTTTTGAAGGCACGGTGGATAGATAGATCAGACTTGTATTAAAAGTTTATGAGGAAAGTTTCTTAACCACGATGATATCACAGCAGAAATCCCCTAGTATGAGTAGAAATTGTATGCTGCATCAGCAAGGATGATTTCGGTTTAGTGAATCTCAGGTCTCCTGTAATCCTTTTGCAGAGGAGTTTGATGTGCTTCCAGATGTAGAATACTCAAGCATTTTGACCCTTTGGCACAGATCTGGTGCTCTTGGATTTGTTTATGGCTTGCTCTTGTACTTTAATATTAGAGAATTGAAAATCTTTTTTCCTTTTTTTTTTTTTTTTTTCTTTTAAGCATCTGTCCTCCAAGTTAAAGAAGATTTGGATGATAGGAGTATAATTAATGCAGCGATACTTGTGGGGGTTTGTCAGCAGTAGTTTTCATTAACTTCACAGGAGGAGGAGTTGGTGTTAGAGTGGTTGCAGTTAAGACTCTGGGGCTGTTTTTGTTGTATTTGTTTGAATGTCCTGTCTGCTGAATAGTGGTGGATCAAAGTTGGGAAAGGAGTTAAGAATTTCAGTGACTTGGGAAAACAGAGGAAGGGAAAGGGAAAAAACGAGATGAGGGAAAAGACAACAACATGAGCTCTTGTTTTCGTATTTAGCAATCCACTGGAAAAGAATGTGAACACACATGCTTGTATCAATTATTTCACCCTCAAGCCCTATGGTTTCAGTAACGGGCAAGACAAAACTGGCTGCAGTCTGTAACCTGCTTGAAGTGCGGTTTGGTCCGTGCGGGAGGCTCGTCATGTCAGTAATACGTTCTGCTCCACATCTCTGTAGGTAGTAGCTTGGATTGTGAGTTACTGACACACGCAAAGTTCACTGGTGAAACTGGCCGCTTGACCAACTTGTTTTGTGCTGTCTGGTGCACCAAGTAGGAATAGCTAGCTCTAAACTTCTGATGGCTTCTGCTTGGCAAAGGGTAAATAAGTGCTTTAAAAATAAACAAAAGAGGTTATTAAAATGTTGTGGGGGGCTATATTTCTAATTTGGGTGACAGTAGCTTGCTGACTCTCGATATTGAAATAACTGTAGAATAATTGACCTTGCCAGAGTATTGACTGTTGAGTAAGCATTTTTCTGAACTCTAAAATACCTTTGTTGCAGAACTCATGTGGCTCTTGTTTTTTTTCCTTCCCTATAGTTGCACATAAATATTTGGAATGTCTGCATCTTTGTAAGCAACAAGTTTCTTCTTGGTGAGTATCGGCAAAGATCACTTCTGTTAATTGTAGCCCTACTTTATTTAAACTGTTGAAGCTGTGGTTTAAATTTCAGGGTTTTCGTAATTTTTGCAAATGCCCTTTCTCTATAAGTAATCTTTATATTCTTAAAACAAGCTTGTCGATTTTAGAGGAAATATGGCAGTTTGGTTCAAGTAGATATTCTTGAAAATACTATATGTCATTTAGGAAATACATGCCTTATTTCATGTGACTTAAAACAAAAAATGAAACAAAACACTTCCCAAATCTTTTTGCTTGTTCAGTGTTTTGGGGTGTTTGTCCTTATAGTGTGTTTAAAAAAATAAAAAAGGAAACTAGAACAGCTAAATGAGAGATAATCAAATGACTAAAAAATGAGTACTCATTTCTTTAATTGCACTTGGTAATAGGTTTATTGTAGAAGATTGCTATTTCTTTGTTCTGTTGAATTATCCGTGTTTATAATTTCTGCCTCTGTGTTGGTCTCTCCCAGTCTCCATACAACAGCACACTTGTGTGGGATGTTGCTGAGAGCATGAAAATGGCTTTTGCAAAATGATCTTTAATCTAGGAGAGATCATGAGGCCCTCGATTTAGAGAGGGTAACTTATGTCTGCCGATAGCTCTTCACGTTCTCCCCAAGGGTGCTGAGGAATTCTGGGCCCCTGCCTGAAGAGGAGAGCAGATAGAGCTTTTTGAGCTGTTACGGCTTTGTTGGTCTACTTGTGTAAACGAGAGAAAAACATGGATCTGAAATTAAGTAAAAGCCTTTTGCTCTGAGTAAATATTTCAGTTTTAAGGACCTACCTATACAGTATCCTTGTCACTGAAAATTAAAGTATTAATTCAAGATCCAATTTCCAGTGTTTTGTTGCTCAGTCAAGAACTGGCTTCACATGCTGTGTTGATTCAGTCTTGGAAAATTGCAAAGAAAGGAGTGAGTGTTGGTCAAGATCTAGTTGAGGATCCTCCACAGTGCAGACAAGAACAGCTGCGTGCAACCCTGTGTCTTGTTTGGAACGTGTGTTTTGGATAGATATGTGCAGGAGCTGCATTATTCCTGGAAGTTTCTGGGAATGTCTAATTGACTGTCCAGCTGGAGTTTTCCTGTTGCTGCTCCTCTTGCATTGGAAGAATTGGTTGAAGGTCTGAAGCTTTGTGGTTGAGGACATGTGTGACATGGCTGTGTCCTCAGGCTCACTCATTTTGCTGTGAAGCAGTATGTGAACCATGAGGTGGAAGTAGAGAAATCCTTAGATTAATAGCTAGTACAGAAACCACTGCTTGGTTATATATAACTGATATATAACTGATGTCTCTTAGTGGTGTTTTTTTAATAACTAGAGAAAACAACAGTGAGGGATAATTGATGGTGGCAGTGATGTTGCAGGCGAAATCTGGTAGGCAGAGCACAGGCAGATGTTTTTGTTTTAGTGATAAGTCAGTGCTTCCTATGTCAGTGCCGAAGTCATTTTATAAAATGGTGCTTTGATATTTGCAAGAATTTTACTTAGTATTCATAAGATGCCATTAGGTTTGTGTAATGTAGTGGTATCTGTAAGTGCTGCTTTGCACTTTTGCCCTCACGTGCAGGTGTGTGGTTTCAGCATGGCTGTGGTTGTCCGCTTGCAAAGGCTTCTGACTGCGGCAGGGTGCGTGGCCTTGGCTGCAGCGAGCCCTCCTGCTGGGGCTCTGCGTGTTGTAGGGTGCGAGCGGAGAGGCTTTCGTCCCGGGAAGGCTGCGTGTGACGCAGGCACGGGGCGCTGGTGGAAGGTCAAAAGCGGCTATGACTGTGCAATAAAAACTTACCTTGGAAGCATGATCGGCCTCAGTCCTTGGCTGTTTGAAACCGTGTGCTTCTGTATGATGGCAGCTTTGGAACACTGTCCAGTGCTGGAGTGCGTGGTAGAGCCATCTTAGGTTTTGTGGCGTCTACTGTTACATGTCCTGGTGGAGGAACAGTTTATACAGCTCTGCATTAAGAAAACAAAATATACCTGTATCTTCATACGCTTGTGTAGGAGATAAATTTCACATCTTGGCATTATTAGTAGACCAGTATTTAGCTGTACCTGTGCAGCCACCCTCTGTGAAAACAGTGCGGTCCGTTCCTAATTCCTTTCACTCCAGCAGTGCTGTCAGTGCTTTTTATTGACCCGACAGCTGTCCTGCCCCCTGCTCTTCGTAGTCTTCCCGACCCACCAGCGATGCGGAATGGCTCTTGGGAATCTCACAGCGTACTCGCCAGGCAGGGTGAATTTAATGTCGTTTTCCTCCAAATAATTACGTATTTGTATTTTTTAATCTGTTGGAGTTTTGACATGCTTATTTATCAACCTAGAGAACTAAGATTATGAGTAAAGTGCCTCTCTCTCCTTTTTTTCTTCCCAACATTTGGTTCTGGAGGAGAAAAAAAATGGTTTTGGCACAGATATGTTAAAGAAGGAGATGAGGCTGAGTTGTGGAAGCTAACTGTGTAAGCTACATGATATACCAGATTTAGGGATAAAACTTACCTGAGAGAGATTAAAACAGAAAATTTTAGGCACTGGTGCAGATTAAGATATACAAGACCTGTGCTGTTAACAGAGAATTTGTTTTAAAATGTAAAGAAAAATGTAAGCATTTTTAGTAGGGTTTTTTGGAAAGTGCAAAGGAGAAAATGTTTCTTCTTGGTACTTGTGGGATGTGGAATATTCTTTTAAATCTTAATTGCCTCATAATGACTTTTATTTGGAAGAAAATGCTCCCCCATTTTAACAGTGGAACCCCATAGCTTTAGTGACATGTACTTGGACTCCTGGTTGGGAGCAGTAGCTTGCCTAAATCCTAGGTTGATGGTTCCTGAAACAGGCCTAACCCTCGTAGTGGAATGATAAGTTCTAGAGAAAAGGCCTCCAACTTTGGGAGCAAGCCTAATAACCAGCCCTTGTTTTAATTGTGGTCTTGAGCACTTAAGAAATGTGGATTCCTGAAGTTATCAAAGTAAAAATCTTGCCCAAGTTTGGGTTTGAGTTACCGAGTTAACTCAAATTCACTTTCTGCTGAATAGCATTTTTAAAGAGGTGTTTGGATAAAGCTTTCTTCTTTTCCAAGTCGTAGCTGTTACCATCTCTAGCTTAGCCTGGGGTGCTTTGTTAAAAAAAAAATCTCTTCTGGTTTAATTTAAGGTTTCTAAAGCAAGATTTCTAAATTAAGGTTTCTAAGTTTCTACCTTCCCTACAAAGGAGGCAGAAGGGCTGAACCCTAAAATCGCCAGGTAGAGGCAAGGCCCTACGTCGCCTCTGAGCAGCAAAGCCCTCCCTCCGCTGGACGCGGACAGGGACAGGTCGCGGAGCCACTGCCGCCCTTCCCTGGGAGAGGCGGACGTGCAGAGGGGCGGCGCCGGGCGGCTTCAGCCCGCTCTGGGGTGGCTGCGTACGGGGCAGGTTGTTGAGCTGCTCTCTTGAGTAACCGATTTCCCTCGTGTCTGCACTGCCAAGCATGAATCTGCTCAGAAAGCCATTTCTGAAATGGGCTGCAAATGAAGAGAATGAGCTGGCTGGCCACACATGTTGAATGTAGGGGCTGCTGGGTCGAGTGAAATGGAACAGTTAGATGTGAGAGATAATGCGGAGGAGCTCGAGTTCAAATAACTTGGGGCAGGGGAGGAAGGAAGGATTTGGAAGAGGGGGCAGAAAGGAGAAACAGTTTTTTGTCCTTACTGCTGTTATTCCCTGCTTTCAGTTTTTCTTCCAGTTGCCTTGCCCTGAGCTTGGCTGGTGTAGTGCAGTGTAGCCCACACGTGCTATAAACACACTCATTTCCCACTGACTCCCCAGCTGGAAATTGGAAGCAGTTCAGGTATTTCACAGAATCTGCAGACTCTGTAAATATAACTAACTGCTTCCCTTTCCTTGTGATATTCAACTGAAAATATACTAGTGCCTTCCTCATCACATTTCATGTGATCGTGGGTGCCTCCAGAAGCCCCATTTGATGGGATGTTGCTGCTGAAATGTGGAGACACGTAGCATGTTCCTCTTGGAGCCGCAGGTGCCCGCGCTGACAGGACTCCCGTGCTCCGGGATCACCGCAGCTCCGGCAGGGCGCCAGGAGATGGCTACCTCGTGGACGTTTTTAGGACTCTCTTGTCTCTGCATGTCCATTCTCAGTGGAGAATTAAAATAAGGTTTGTAGTGCAGGAGAGAACTTACAGCTATGCTTTCACTAGAAGTGAAAACCAGAGTTTCTTTCTATTATGTATTTGGAGTAATTGAATTTTAGTGCTAATGTCAGAAATAATATGCGAGGGAAAACAGTGCATGTTTTAGGTATAAATGGCTAACCTGCTTAAAAATGAAAAAACTCTAGACATTAAATTTCCTCTAAAATTTCCTTCCCTTTCTCAGTTAAGTTATGGAGTTGTAAGTTAAAGAAAGAAACAGACAAACGAACAAAAAACCCAAGCACACTCGAGCTGTATTAGGAGATGGTAGGTAGTGAACTGAATCAGAACCACTCCAGATTGAACCCATATTGGTTGTCAGATGCTATAGATAAGTAACTCGCAATGTTTCTGGATTCTTATCTGGCTACAATGTTTTCTAGTTAGTGTGAAGCACCGTATAGTGAATTGAGCTTACTGAGAATACTTCTTTTTTTTTTTTTTTTTTTCTCCCACCTTGCTTATTCTTTGCAGGCTTTTTTGAGGGGGGTCTGTGTGTGTATGTGTGTGAAGTAGAAGGTGAGTTTTGTTGGGGTATCTGCTTGACCCTCCCTTGGCAAATGGCCTGATTTACTTGATGTAAATCAAGTGGTTTTTGCCTGTATAGAAGGTTCATGATATTCCTAAAGATTTTTGATACGTAAACCACATTGGAACTCTGGATAGTTATTCCTAAATATGGTTTTCTAGATACACTCTAGCTAATGGTGTCATTCAGTATCAGAAATTGGCCCCAATAAAATGCTGCTGCTTAATTCTTAGCTCACAGTGCATGTTTTTTTGTTATTGTAGTGTGAGATGAGGTGGGTGTTTTTTGTTTTGTTTTGTTTTTCAATTTAGTCTTCAAGATGTAGCCCCACTATAAGAAAGACTGGTGGACAAAAGGTGTTTGAATTTTGGGTGTTGTGAGCTTAAAGCTTGCACGAATAGGTGATAATTTGTGTGACACAGCTGATACAAATTCAGGGGAAAAAAAAAATTCCTGATCAGGTTTTCTACTGAGTGTACCTTGAGAATGATACTGTCTTGGCAAGATTTTGTAAATGTTTATATAACTGAAGGAAAGCTGTTCCCTGGAACAATATTTTTGCTTCCTAGTTAAAATGGAGAAGCAGAACGAAAGCAATGCAGATAGAGACAGTATAGGCAGTTATATTTTAAAATTACTTAGCTCTGTATTTCTGATGTCTTTAATCTCTGTTGCATTTGTAGCGATGAGGTGATGTAGTGTTATGGATAGTTTACTAAAATGATAGCTTTTGGAAGCGTTTTGGATACTGTGTGTTTCTGCCACCTCCTGTTTACTGAATTCCTCATTTTCATCAAAATCCAGATGGGGTGGGGGGAAATAGTATCACAAAACCTTTATGTCAGCCATGAATAAGCATTGGATTGCAAAGAGTTCTTAACTGACCTGCCACTTGGACTGGTTGACAACGGTTGAGCCTCAGTCTTTTATGGGCCAGTAGCTACTTCTTTGTACATATTTTTGAAATGACTCTGCACACTGTCAATTGGGATCCATTTTATAAGAGGTAATTGTCCCCGTGACTTTCTGCAAATGAGAAATAACGGGTTCCCTTAACACCTAGTTTCTGGGGGTTATGGTGCATAAGCTTATTTTGTATGTGTCTTGATTAGTGATTGATATTTAATTGCATTTTTTCAGGGGAATAAAATCAGCAGTGTTGCTATTACAAAATGACAAAACATCCACCGAATAGAAGAGGGATCAACTTTGAGGTGGGAGCCCAGTTGGAAGCCCGTGACAGATTAAAAAACTGGTATTTTTTAAAAAATTCATATTATATTAACGCTAAGTCTTTAATATCTTAAAAACATTTTACTTTGATACCGTATTTAGAGTCCTGGTCATTGGTTTATAGGAAAATAGTTAATTTTTAAATGCTTACATACCAGTGGTTGAAATGGGCAATAAATGCTGTTATGTTGTGCTGGCTCTTAAAAAGAAGCATACCAGTGCTGTCTGCATCTGGAAAGAGAACTGAACCTCAATGTAGTGCAACTTCAGGCTTGAGTGCTCTTTACTTCACATGCAAAAACTGTGCTATACACATCTTGCAGAGCAGTCTAGGCAGGGACGAGTCCTCTGCAGCCCATGATGCCTAAGGTAGCTCCTCACTACTTTCTTTTCCATCATTGTTATGAATTCATAGGCTTAGAAGGTCTTATTGAAATTGTTATGCCCATTTGTAAGTTTAATTAAATACAGATGTAAAGAATTGAAAAGGGGCATGCATTCCTAACAGGAAGTTTGTTTTGGAATCTGCTTTGAAGACCTCATAGTCAAGAAAAATTTATCTTGCATAACTGCGGTGGGGAGTAGTGCATCTTCTAACTGTGTCTGTTTTAGAAAGTTATCTTGCAAATTAGCATTTAATAACGTTCAGTGAATGAGATATAAGATTGAAAACTGCCAGGGTAAAGGACTTAAATATGGGTGTCAATTGGGCATTGTTAGTTTCTTCAGATATCTTCTCTCAGTTGATTGATTGTCTGATGGTTGATTTTTATTTAAGAGTCTGTGTGGGTTAGATATGGTTGTACTTCAGCCTCTAGAAACAGCAGGCAAGATGAGCTGTAGAAGTCACTGTGCTGAAAACTACCCAGGCATCCCAGAAGGATGGAGCGATGTACAGGGCTAGGTCCAAAATGCCTCAGCTGCATCCCAGATATTTTTCACTTTTCAGGTAGAAAGGGAATGGAATAATGAAAATGAATAAACATAACTTTTCAGAAGAAAAGTACAAACATTAAATTGTATTTTATATTGGCTTTCCTTTGTGAATCGAAACTGCATAGATAGGGTCTCAGTCTGAAACTCTTTGCATCTTTTGCATACAAAGAAACATTGGCAAGCTTACAGCGATGAGATTTCTAAACCTGTCTGTGCTATACATGCAATGTAGGCTTCCTAGAGGTATCATTCAGTCTAAGTTTTATCTAAGTAATGCACGTAAGTGGTTTGTGACCTATCTGACTTCTTTAGAGAAAAACAGTGCCTAAATATACAAGTACTTAGTTCTCGTATGGTAAAATTTGCAAGATAGGGTGAAAGAAAAAAAAAAAAAAACAGCACCTGTTGCCGCTTACATATTTCTTAGCTTATATTAACGTTTTGGAGATATTGCAGATTCTTAGAAACTCTGAAAAACTCATGTCTTCTGAATAGTTGCAAAATCCTGTACAGTCTCAGAACCTAGTTATTGGCTCTCCAGTTTTGAAAGTCTCTTTCACTTGCTGGTCTGAACTCTGGGGCAGAAAGTCCATGTTTCCTTAAATAGTCACCCACATGTAGTCGTGTTCTCAGGAGGTGTGAACCAAAAGCTACCAGAGCTGGATGTGTATTTTCTCTCAGCAATGTAAGTAGTGACAGATGGAGGCCCACCACTCATGGAAGGTGTGGGCTTGTGGAGGACAACAAGATTTTGCCATCACCCCCATGTTTATTTTTGCCTGCTGTAGTGAGAGCAGGAGCATTCCTTGGTGTGGTTTTGATGTGCTTTTTACATGGATTCAAGATTTCTTTTGTGACAATTGCTCTTGCCAGTGCTAGACCCTCAGAGGTCTAAATGTTTCTTGTGCATTGCTGTGTTATCTTGGCACATGAAGCATAGGCAGAAGTCTCCTGTTTGAAAAGAGGTGCCTTTTATTTCTGGGCTCAGTACCTTACACACTAGTCAGTTGAAGGGCAAGTATTGCTTCTCACGTGGCAGTAGTGCCTTGAGGAGAAGTATTTCATCTGGGAGCCCAATTTACATGTCTTTCATGGCCAGGGCTCATGTCTTGGAATATTAGCTTGGGGCTTCCTGGATGTTCGAGTGTAATGCCAATCTCCCAGCTCTGTGTAAGAGAACAAGGGTGCAAAGTGAACTGACTGTGCAAAGAACTCGAATTGTGCATGCTTAGATCCCTCATCAAAGGCATCTAGTTGTCTCGTGGAACATAACATAATTATGCACTTCAGTTCCTGGTGTGTTTCTGTGTCATCTCCTGAACTCAAACTCCAGAGAGTACAGTGAGTCCTTGTTTGTTGCTTGACTTCATTTTCTGCGGCTTGCCTGTCCAAAGCTGTCGTGAACGGTCCCTGATGACAATCTGCTGACCAGACAGCATCAAAGGAGGGAAGAGCCCTGTGCACCAGCTAGTGCCTCCATGCATCCACCAGAGTGCTGGGTTCCAGAGGATGTGGTGGGACTGCTCCACTAGTTCAGACCTCTGCCGATCCCAGAGACACCAGCTGCATCCATTGACATACAAGTGGTCCCTGGGGAACTGAGTTCTTGGAATTGTTTGTACTGGATCACTTAAACCCCTTGGCTCTGGAAAGCAGCAACTGTGCTATAACAAAAAGGATGGCTGCGTTGAATGGTTGTAGAAAGCAAACGGTGACCACCTTGTTGTAACAACATCTTTCACTTCTACCTGCTGCGTGAGTAAAATGGAGATGAAAAGACTTCTGATTCTGGTTAAGGCTCTTCAGTCTTGAGCTCAAGATTAGTGTTTTTAAGAGTATTGTGCTACCCTATTAAGGGTAAAGATAGTCAGTCCCAAGAGATTTAATTACTGTCACTGTCAGGATTTTGTCCCAGTCCTGAGAAGCTAGGAAACCACATATGTGTTCACAGTGCCAGTCCTCCAAGGTGTCTCTGTTCCTTTTGATATTCCCTTGACTGCAGTAAGATTGTCCTGTTCTAGTTTCAGGAGAAAAAAAGACTTTACAGCAATTACAATTTACTGTGTAGGAAAGAAGAGAGACAAACCAATCCTGATGTGAGAGATAGGAACTCCTCCAGTCAGCACCCTGATTTTGAATTTTTGGATGTTCCTGTCTTCCCATAGCAATGGCTGGGTTTGCACTTCTATCTAAAAGAATGTATTTTCATACTGCTTGCTCTGCTCTGGCAGGAGGTGCCCAGAGTTGCCAGTCGTCAATAGCCTCCATCTCTTCAGAGTGCTGCTGTTAGAGCTTCTGACTATCCCTTGGGTTCCTAGCAAAACTCTTAATCCCAGCAGGGTGTGCACCTGGGTTTTCTCTTTTTTGATGTCCAGTCATCACATTTTTCATAATGCCTTGAAAGGTACAAGCCAGTCATTCCCTTTGTTTTTTTTCTGAAAAAAATGACTTGTTTTGATGCCCTGATATATTGCCCAAAGTAGTGCAGAATTTCAGCTTGTTCTTACAACGTGGTAGAAGAGTATTCAGAGCAGTATCAGTTGGGAGATTTCTTGCTTGGGATCAATTAACAGTCTTGAATGTCCATGCAGTCAGCTAAACGCCTCCTTCATGGCCTGGAGGAGGAGCTATTTGACCTTACCGGGACACGTGGCAGACTCTGCTCTTTTTCATGCCTTGGGCTAGGTTTCCGCTTAGGTGTTTCACTTTGTTTACCATTCCATAGGTGCTTTCTTGATTAAATGAGAGGCCCTTTCTTTAGTTGCCTTGGCCCTGAGGTATTTAAAGGCTCCTTGGCACATGCGTAGGGGTATGGGGTGTTACTCCTTTTCTGTGTAGATCTGTAGGGATGTGTGCCTCCTGAGGAGGCTCAACATGTGGAGCTCAGAGCTCTTGAGAGCCTGTGACCCTTTCTCCTTCACCTTGCAGTTGCCAGGTGCTGGACAACACCATGGTATTTCTAGGTCCAAAAGGAAGGTAGCACTGGGGATGTTCCAAGCTTGTGAATGCATCATAGTGTCTAATAGACTTAGTGTTTCAACGGAGCATTGAACGAACTACTGGCAGATGATGGCTGCTTTAGAAAGGTAGGATTTGTTTAGGTTTTTCAGCCTATTAGCCAGGAGCTGTCTGAGGGCTCTAGTTTGTCTCCATTTGCTCTAGACCAGGCTGAAATTTGGTCTCATTCTCAGGTATCTTTTTGCAGTTCTTGCGGATATATTAACAATTCACCCTATCTGGGAGTTTTTAGAGGATGAGGTGGAACAGACACAGGTGGTGAAACTGGTGCATTGTTCTGGGATGATGGTCCCTGATGTGAAGGATGCTGTTCCTTCTTTAACTGAGTATGAAGCAGGGGGTAGTTTTGCATCACGTAGTTTGTTTGATACGCTCTAGTGTGTATCTCCTGAGAGAGAGAAAGAGAGACGACGTGTCCTAAATGATGTTTGGCACGGTGTTGAGCCACTTCTCCTTCATTTTCACCAGCTTCCCTCTGGATCTTTGGGAATCTGGATGGGCCCTAGACCCACTGCAGTTCTGATGGCAAGGACATTTTTTCCTGCTAGTCTCTGTGGGAGTCTCCTGCTAGGGTCTGTGGGAATTCCTATCCCTGATTTTACTGCGTTATGCAGGACCTAGATACTCTCAAGTGAAATATGTGGCCTCTAATAGATTTGATACTTTTAACTGCCAAGAGATTGTCTTTGAGATCTTAGTTACCTGTTGGCTGCCTTAACTTTCTGTGAAAGCAGCATTTTTGGTTGTTGTTGTGACTGTGGTCAAAGTAAGTGAGATTTAGGTCTTAAAGGCAGGCAAATCTTGCCTGGTGTTTTTAATTCTCACAGACTCTCTCTCCAGACCTGTTCTGATCTCTCTCCATAGCCCCTCTTGATTTGTCTGGGATGAGGGATTAATAGCAGGGTTTTTGTCTAGAGCATATTTCCGGAATGGAACTTGCTCAACACATTGGCGGCAAGAAGGTCTTGTATATCTTTAGATTAAGTCTTTAGAAGGTCTTTCAAGGAGATTTCCTGTGGGTAACATGTCTGCATAGTGCTGTTTCACATGGGTGCTGTTTAGATGGCGGTTGTAGTGTGTTAGAACAAGCTCAGAGCCTACTGAAACGTAAGATACTGCTGGTGGTCAGAATCTGGGCTGTCCAAGCCTAGAGATGCCTGTGCCGTCAGTAGTTCTCATCTGCCTTCCTCTCTCCAAGTTGCTTTTGCAGTTTCGTGGCTGCAATGTGAGTCTTAGTGGTTTGTTCACTTGTCGCTCCCTTTTGGACAAGGGACACGTGCCATAACTGCTGAAGTCTTGTCATCAGTTCATAACTGTAAAATGATACACCTAAAACATTAAATCTCTGCATTTAAGTCTCAATTCTGCTGGATTTGGATTTTAATTTTAGTGCCAGGTTGGATCCTATGTTTGATCCACATGTTCTGGTGCTCTTGTTGCAGTGGGGTGAACTTCGATTCATGATGTTATCTTCAGCTGTGATAGTGTTGATTCTGAAACATTTACTGAGGTCTACAAATTACCAATGCAATTAAAGAAATGCGGAGTTTATAATATCTTCGTCATTGGAAGCTACTGGGTTTGACCTTCTCTGAATCCTGTAGTAATAATTTAAAAGGTCTGGGACTTTGAAGATGGGATTCAACTTTGAGAACATAAAACGTAAATCTGATTTATTGGGCCTGCTAGACTAGCTGTTATGCTGGGAGGCATAGGGATTATAACTGCAGGTTTTTCAGAACCTCAACCAGAAGTTCTGCAGAAGGTTGTTGACATGAATTGATGGGTATCTCTTCGGAGGAGTGAATTTATCGACCTTCGGGTCTTGTCCTTGATAAGAGAGCTGGAATGACTGGCTTGTCACCTTAATTGTGTAAATATTTTATTTGTTGAAAGTCGAGATTTTAGGTAATGTCTTCTGCCACATCAACTGATGTACTTGAAAAGTTAAGTTTTAGAGACATCTCTTCCGGTCTGATCACATGCTGCAAAGTTAAGTTTGTTTCTTTTTTTCCAGTTATAGTGCTTGGTCTAGCAAAAGAGTATTTCCAAAGCTTGTCTACAAGAAAAACGCAGCTATAACAGAGCACTGACATTATACCCATTACAAATGCTAGTACCTTTGCATCTAACACTATATTCATATGAAATAACTCTTGTTGTTCCCACTGACTTCATCTTTGAGGCTCTCCTACCTGACCCTCTCCTCCTGCCCTTAAGGCAGCTATCAGTTTTTCACATTTATGCTGGATATAGCAAAGTTCAGCCTTTTTCTGACTTCTAGTCCCAGGGGGAAGGAGGAAATATAGAGAGGAAGAGCCCCCTCAGCTGCCTCCCCTTCATGCAACCAGTGTTTGCTTTCATGCAGTTCAGTTTGGGGATTGTTCTGTTCTGGGCCTTTTAATCCTTTGTAATAGCTTTATTGCTCATACAAGAGATAGGTGAAATAATATTAAGACTGTAGAGACAACATTTTGTTAAGTAGACTAACCTTAGTTCTCATTACAGCTGATCAAATGGTCTTCAGATACTTTGATTTTTGGTAGTTCAGAAGGCCACTTGTGTAATGTTTTGCACTGTAGCTGGAGTAATGGTCAGAGATGCACTTATTCATACTTGATTTTAATTACTATTCTTCCAGGTATCCAGCTCACATTGAAGAAATTGATTATGAGGAAGGGAAAGTACTCATCCATTTCAAGCGCTGGAACCATAGATACGATGAATGGTTTTGCTGGGACAGTCCTTACTTGCGTCCCTTAGAGAAAATACAGTTAAGAAAAGAAGGGTTACATGAGGAAGAAGCATGTGCAGTAAGTAGCCGATACTGGACATTGGTGTGTGCCCCAGTTTATTATGCAGTTAGGTGAATTATGACCACCCAGGTGCATTAAAACAGTTCATTCTTCCTGCCTTAGCTACCATATAAGTTCTGTGCCTTATATTTTACTAATTGGGAAACAAATTGTTTTGATTTAATGAAGTTGTATGTTTTATTATTTCTTAAATGAAAATACTTTTAACTAATATATTTTAGGGATTTCATATAAATGATCGAGTATTGGCATGCTGGTCAGACTGTCGCTTTTATCCGGCCAAAGTTACTTCTGTTAACAAAGACGGTAAGGAATCACCTTGCTTTTGTCATGTTTGTTACTACTGCATTTTGAATTTCATTCTAAGCTTTTAAGCATGTGAAGGACAATGTTTTGTCTACAGCAGCTATAAAAGTTGTATGAGCAAGAAAAGAAATCATTTGCAATAATCCCCCAGATTATTCTATTTTAAGTATTTTAGGATTTGGGCAGGAAAGTGTGTCTAAGGAGCAACTCTACCCTCAAACGTGTACCTTTATGTTTACAGTAATTGTATATAATACCCTCACTATTCCTCCCTTACCTGGCCTGTAAAGAGAAATCTTTACTGTTCAAGCCTTCCAACAAGGCTGATAAGGAAGCTTCTATTTAGGTCTTAATGTGCAGCTTCAGTAGTGGAACTGTAACCAGTCACTCTGTTAAATCGCTTCTGATCTTTAAATTGCTGTGCTTTGTTTTTCAAATTTTAGGTACATATACTGTGAAATTTTATGATGGTGTAGTTCAGACTGTCAAAAACATTCATGTCAAAGCTTTTTCCAAAGACCAGGTAAGTAATGTGTTCATGCTGCTGGCATGTTTTAAAACGGGCAGCTCAAGCAGCTAGATTTGCTTAATTGCAAAAGTATGAATCGAGTGTTTGATTCTTCTGCTGCTGACATGCAGTCTCTGAGGTGAAAGCCCTTTAAATGAAAACGTGATGCAAATCATGGCATGACCTAAGAAGTTCTTGGTTTCATGTACTCATGAATGTACAATCAGTAGAAGTTTCAGAGTATGTACACTAGAAATAGGGGTAGGATATTCTAAAACACTTCAGTTGTTTTAGCTATTAACAATTAGTTTAAAATATGTATCAAAAATTAAGTGGATGGAAACTGAGATCAGCCTTTCCTAAAGGAACTAGTTGATTATCTTGAGTCCTTCAGCAAAGTTGTCCACTAACCTTTCCATTCACAGCTTGGGGTGATAGCAGTACTTTTCTCTGGTCGTACTCCGTGTCAGTGATTTGGCTGCTTTGCCAGTCTTACCTACAGTGACTTCAACTTTCAGCTAGTGATGGAAAATGAGCAGTTAAAAAAAAAAAAACTAAGGAAGAAATGCTAGTCTGCACATGTTTGTCAGTTTTTGTGCATGGAGATGCAGGAATAGCTGACAGGTTTGGGTCGTCTGTGACCTGGAGAAAACTTTCTAAGTATTCAGTATTTGCTTTTGGAAAACTTTCTTTACAGGAATGGTTTTAAGGTTCAAATCCTGCCAACACATTCCTGTGGTATGTCTGTAGTCTGTGTTTTTTCAGGCGTGACTTGCAGAAAACTAAAGCAAAAGTTTGAACACTGATGTGGACCTCCTCCTAAAAAGAAAGAAGTCCAAACATTATTATTGTCATCAATAATGTATTATTGAAAAATACAGTCTCAATCTGCCACTGTCTTGGAGAGGCCTGCCTTTCCTTGGTGTTCTGCAGGTTGTGTATCTGCCAAGCTGTGAGGGAAAACTTTCACATTTTCTATAAAGTGCTGTTTCAAATACTAATAATTTGACTGATAGACTAAGACTCACAAGGGAACTACATGAATACTTGTCATGGCCTTGAGAAGTATTCCTAGCCTATTAAATCAACTCGATCTAAAGAAAGCAGGTCTTCTGCAGCTCAATCTGCAGAAAAAAAAAAGGCAAAATATTTTGTCTCCTTTAGAGAGTTTATGAGCTTTCCACAGTGCTTTGGATATGGCTTTCTTTTTGAAAGGAATTCAGGTTTTGTTTTCAGTACAATCACTGACTGGGAAGTTTCTTCTAACTTGAGAAGAAAAGGCTGAGAGGGGATCTAATCAGTGTATACAAATACCTCAAGGGAGGCAGTGAGGAGGATGGTGCTGGCCTCTTTTCAGTGGTGGCCACCGGCAGAGCTAGAGGTAATAGCCACCAACTGGAAGCATCAAAAGTTCCACAGGAACTTAAGGAAAAATTTCTTAACAGTGAGGGTGACAGAGCACTGGAACAGGGTGCCCAGAGAGGTTGTGGAGTCTGGAGCTCCTCACAACGCGCTTGGACGCAGTCCTGTGCCACGTGCTCTAGGTGACCCTGCGTGTGCAGGGGGGTTGGACTAAATGATCTCTAGAGGTCCCTTCCAACCTTAACGATTCTGATTCTGTGAAATTAATTTTATTACCATGTTTTACTCTCTCCTTTGGGATAAAAACTATAATGGGAGAAATTGCTTTTACTTGTTATCAAAACTCTTTAGGAAAGTATTAAAAACAAACAAACAAACAAAAAAAAACCCAGCCACTTCAGAATTCAGGACTCAGTTGTGAGTGTAAGTAGCTTACGGTATAAATTTAGATACATCATAATGTAGGAAAGGCTGGAATCATAAAGACTTGTAGCTTGTATTTTATTTGTTTAAAAGCCTGTTTTTAGAGGGTAATAGAATAAGGTGGCCCTCTTCAGTGGCAGTGTTCCCCTGCTGTTGCAGAGAGGCAATAACAGGCTGCATTGGACAGTGCTGGTCAAATGGTTATTGCCTGCACACTGTGAGTGTTTTTGTGCAAGGACAGCTTTGAAGAGTTCAGAATATCAGCAGATAAGGCTTAGGGTCTTTACCATTCAATTTTTTGAGTATGACTTGATTAAGATGTTTCAGGTATGATGTGATGTCTCCTGTCCTATTCACATAGGTTGTTCTGCAAGCAGCACAGCTAGTGAAATGTAATGTTTGAAGGCTTTTGTTTAATTTGCAAGTTCTCAAGTTTGATTGCTACAGTAGTCTTTTCTTTAAAAAAAAAAAAAAAAAAAAAAAAAAAAGTAAGTTCATGTCTGTTCTCCTGAGCATGGTTAAAATGGTCTTGTGAGAGGTGGAACAGATGTGCACATTGACCATTTTATTGCTTCAAGCTTATTTCTCAGGCCTATGGCCTAGAAACTGCTCTCTTGCATCAGTTTATGAATCCACGTGCAGATAGGAAGACAGTGGTGGGAAAGGCGAGATTGTATGGGAGCAGATGAGACGTCGTCTCAGAACTTCGTGCAACCGAAATCAGCTGTTGCAGCCTCTTTACAAAGAGGCAGCCCTTCCAGGCCTGTGATCTGTGTCCAAAGTCTTCTCCGATTGTCTCCTTTCAGCCTGCTGCGCAGAGCAGTGCTATGGCTGAAAGGAGCTTGGTTGCTTATTAATTGCTTCGAGTTATTAGACAACAGGAAGAGGGAGGTTGGTTAAACTAAAGCCAGTGTTAACACAAGGCCAAGCATAGAGAAGAATAATCTAGACTCAAAATCAGGAGGAGGTTTCTGTTGGAGCAGGGGAGCTCTGAGACTGCAGCTGGATCATGGGAAGAGGGGAGAAAACCCTAAGCAACCCTGGCTTCCTCTATGAAATATATATATGTATGTATACACACACACACATATATATATATACGGTAAAACAATAATACAGTTGAATGTTGTATCAGTAACTTACTGGGGAGTGAACTTAACTGTGAAGACGACCTTTTAATTTTGCCTCAGGTTTACAGTTTAAGTATTTCTTTTGACTTCTTCAGTGTCTCACTGTGTACCTGGAGTTTCATTAATGATAGTGGTGACTAAATTAGTTCTTAGACAAAGGTGTGTGAAGGATTGAAATTTTCATTACATCGGACATAAAATTAGAATGTGTAACTTCTCAAAATCGTGTCAAATGGCTCCCTAGTATTTATGTTATCCTGTTAAACCAATATGTGTCTGCTCTGTAGGTCTTCACAGTTCAGCTGCCTCAGAGTTCTAATGTGCTGTTGGCAATAGAAGAGTATGTGCTTTTTTCCTTTGAAAACTGGGGAGGGAAGGCAAAAGTCTACGAAATACAAAGCTGGGGCAGGGGGGAGGGCTTCCAGATTGCAAGAAGTTCGTTTTCATGTCCCACTCTCTTCCTTCTAGACTATCGTGGGTAATGCTAAGCCTAAAGAAAGAGGTAATGAAATTCCGTCATCTCCTGAAAAGCGGGAGAAATTTAAAGAACAGAGGAAAGCAACAGATAATGCAAAGAAAAACAAGGATGAAAAGACATTAAAGACTGAGAAAAGGGTTAAGCAGTCTGATAAAGAGGGAAAATTGATAGTCATCTCAGAAAAAGGCAAGGGCTCAGAGAAGAATATATCTAAGAATGGAAAAGAAGATAAAGAGAATATATCAGAGAATGATATGGAATATTCAGTAGATACAGAAATTGAGAAGAAGCCTGAGAACGACAATGTAAAGAGTCCACAGGAAAATGTAAAAGAAACTAAACGAAAACGTGGAAGGCCACCAATAACTCCTCCAACAGGTATGTAGTAAGACATAAATTGCTCAGACTGCATTGTCCCAAGTCCTTACAAACTTAGAAGTGTTTTGTTGTTCTGTCTCCAGCCTCAGAGACTCTAGAAGTTTAGATGTTTTCTTATCTCACCTTTGCTCAAGCTTCAAGACAGCTGGGAGCATACTTGTTCTTCAGATTCAAAGGTTTTCAACGATTTGGCAAGCAATCAGTTTTAGGCAAATAATCTTCATGAATAACTGTAAAATATGCTGGCAGTAGGATTCAGTTTTAATATGTGGACATAGGAAAGCCAGGTGAAACTAGGTGTGGAGATCATTAGTTTACACTTTTTATAAAGGAATAAATAATGAGACTTACAAACTTGTGTTAGAAGTTTCCCAGTTTCACATGCAGTCAACTTTCTGTTCTCTATGTGAATATATAGAGCAAAGTTCTCAGAGGCTGCAGCCCATAGCTTTAGAGTTAAGACGTCGGAAAATACCTAAAGGAGGAGAAGTTCCAGCGAAGCGTCCCAGGATTGAAAAAAATTTGTGTGAGTATTTTTGGTGTTCAGCTGTCACGGTAACTGTACAAATAAGTTTCAGAAGTGTAAGAGGAATTTTTTAAAAAGTCTAATATTAACCATGAAATGTGATATAAAAATGGCTTAAAGGCAGCACCTGCTTTTCTTAAACTGGCCATTCATTTATAGCATTGTTATGCTGAAGGTTTTTACCAGTTTTTGAAAGTTGAGTTGGATAGAGAGGCCATGCACAGGCTGACAGTTTTCATGCAGAATTTTACAGGGTTTAGGGGCAGGAGTGGTTATATTTTCTCCAATATTTAGACAACCAAAAAAGCCTATTTCTAAGAAACTGTGTTTTTTTTCTTATTATATGAACCATCTACCACGTTGCTTAAAAAGCAAACAAACACCCCCATGTTTTAACATTTGATACATGTTCATGTCACTGCAGTCTGGTAGCTACCACTTCTTGATATACTGTGTAATTATGTTGAGCTTCAGAGTGTTGATCAAGAAATAAAATTACCATTTGTGGTAGTATCACAAACAAAGATGAAGAAGAACTAAAGAGGTTTATCTTCCAGAGGACCAGAAAGTGTAAAAGTTGCAGTTCATGTATTATCCAGCATTATCAAGTCGGGGTTGTTTGTGTCTGAGCTGCCTGATTTAATATCTCCTATGGAACATGTGAGTGGGACAGTTGCTGTTGAAAGCAGTGCTTTATCAGTAAGACATCTGTATTCACACTTAAAATCTGTAACTCAGAGTATTTGAAACATTAATAAATGTGTATCAGAATCTTTATCCCCCGTTTTTGTGCTTGTATCTATTTGTTGATGTGAGTGTACCTTTTACAGAGGCCTAGTTATGAGAGCTGTTTAACTTTTGCTGATACACTCAGTCCATAAACAACTTCAAACTGTTCCTGGGAGATAAGTCAAATGTGCATGTGAGCTACATAGTACCATCAGATTTCTGTTTTTTAGCTCAGGAAAAATTGAAAGGCTCTTCAGAGAACCATGAGAGAGACCAGATTAGGAGGCGATCTTCAAGACTCTCATCTGGCGTTAGCCATGAGATTGAAAGTACGGATCACAACACAGCAACTTCGACAGAAAGTCAGGCTTTGAAAGATGCAGTATCTCACCCAAAGGAACCTAAGAAGGGTAAGTAGCTTCCTTGTATGTCCTGAACATACAGTAGTAAGGAAGGCTTTTGGTTGTTACCAGAACCGTATTTTCACTGCATAACCTCCAGATTGTGTATATGCAACTAAAACAAATGTGATTTCAGGAGCAGTGCAGGGTAAACCCCAGGAAAGCTTATTTTGATCTCTGCTGCACTGATTGCTCTTCATTTGCTTTTGATTTCTTCTCTGTCCGTAATCCTAGCGTTTCCCCCATGTAATAGGGAGCATAACCAGCCGCATCCTTGGCTGTCTGGCAAGGGAGAGCTCTGCTGGTTTCCTGAGGACTTAAAGAAACTGTTTTTAAAGAGATTGCAGGTTATGCTTGTGAAAATTATGCAATTGATGTTTATTTTTTATGTTCTATATATTTTTTTCTATTATATTCTTTTGATTTGGGAAGTAGTTTAAAAGTTAAATTACAGTTTAATCAACTTGTTGAACACGAAGGCAAACAGAAGGGCTCTCTTTTTCTGTACTAGGCAGTGTAGAAGTAACTTGCCTTTTCCTCACAGGTGAATCTCTGATAATGATTTGAGCAGACCTAGCCTGTATGAAGCTGTGATGAACTAGCAGCCTGTGCGAGTTTAAGAAGTTCAAAATGTTTGTTTGTTTGTTTTTTAAAAAAAGCTTTATGCTAATATAACAGCAAACAATCTGACTGTAGATGTGTATCTGGTGTTTTGGTATGTGCTTTTGTTAAATTTTATTCATTCAAAATTTTTTCCTCTCTCCTAGTTGAGTTGGAAATTCCTGTTGAAACTGACCAAAATGTCCACGAAGAAGCATCTTCTGGGGATGCATTGCACACTGCAGTACTTGGTGCAGATGCCAGCCTAAAAGAAGAAAAAGTTGAAGACACTGAGCCTTCCTGTGCTACTGACAGGCCTGACGAACCTCCTGCTGCTACAGGTTCAGATTTTGATTTCACATTTTATGTAGATACTTTAAGACAGCCGATTCTAGGTACTTCATGATTTAACAGTATAAATAAGAAACATTAATGTTAACTGAGGAGAGAAATGCTTATTCTGACCACTGACACTCAGTTTTGCTGTTATGTGTGAGTTTTGGACTTAACAGCAACCCTCCAAAAGGTAGAAATTAAAAATTTTAAATGAAGTTGTGTAGTACTTTAGTAACAGGTAAAATAAATATAAATATTTGTTTTCAGGATATAATCTAATACTTGCAGTTCTGGATTAGGTCAAACTAATGTCTTAAAAGATCAGCTTCTTTTGTAATTTTGTTTGTACTGTGAATACATGGTAGCGTTAATATTCTTTGGGAGTCCTGATTGTGCATTTCTATATCCTGACATTTTGGCCATTAAACTTGAGTCCTAGAATATTTGGTTTATTTAGGGCAAATTTATGGAATAACTGAAACATTCCAATGTCTGTCTTAATGCATGTTTTCTCTTAGTCTCGGAAGTGTATGTGCCATGCTTTTTCAAAATAAAGTTTCATATACAAAGAACAGACTAAATCTTAATATAATGTTGCCCTGGGATTATTCCTTAATAACTTTTAATATCCTCAGTTAACTGGGGAAGCTTGTGCTGGAAATTTCCTAATTTATGCTTGATCAAGAAAGCTTCAAGTTATTTGGGAGAGTGCAATTAAAAGTCCAGCACTGCTGGAGCAGTCCGCACGCACTGGCCACGCTCTGCTTGCTCCTTCTTCCACACCTCCTCTCCCACTCACGCGTGTCATTTTAGCACGCTGCAGGTAATTCTGTTGGTCTGATATCCTTTTGCAACTGGTAACATTTGCACGGGCATGTGTAATGCAGGAAGGAGTTTACTTCTTCCTTTTATTTGCTTAGACCTCAAGATTTTTTTCCTTGTCAGATTGTTTTGTCCTTGTCTTCCTGGAAAGTACATGTGATTACTTATTTATTTTTAAATGAATGGGTTGTAGCTTTTCTTAGTTAATGAAAGCAAAAGTACTGGTTGTCTGGTGTAGCTGAACAGAGCATTAGAGTAACGTGGCAGAGTCTGCCCGATCCCGAGGAAATGCTGTTACTCTCTGTAGCAACTCTGAGTGAATGAGTTGTCGAGAGCCTCTTTGGAAGTCTTTGAAGCCAAGGAAGGGTGTAAAAAGTCTTCTCCTTCCAGTGGCTATGGATGCTCCTTCCCCTCTCGGAGCTGGCAGGACCAGCTTGCTGGGATACAATCTCACTTCACTTTCAGGATGGAGGAGCTGCTGGAGGAGCTGCTGCAGGTGCAGGCATCACTCCAAAGAGATGCAGCCAACTGAAATATTTTGGAGTGCATGCAGAATTCATGCCCCGATAGTTATTTTAATAGGTATTACAGGTCGTAGCTATTTCAAAAAGACAATTGGTAGTATTTCAATGAAAAGACTTACTTTTCGGTCTCTCAAATACTATTAAAAAAATATATATGCCAAAGCTTTCCACCACAGTAGATAGCTATCCTTTAGGTGTGCTTTGTGTAGGAAAACGATATATTGAAATGCTTTTTTAACTTCAGTGATCTAACATAAGAAAATTGTTGCATTTTGTAAAATATGTATAGATTTGCATTTACAAGTGTTGCAGATTTAAGGCTACAGGCAGTAGGCTTGTTCTTAGGTTTATTTTGTATAACCCCTGAAGGTACTCATGGAATTACAAATCCATAAACCACAACCTAATTTGCTGGGAAACCGGAGCGTGATAAATCTGGGCTTTCTGGAAGAACATACGGTATTAACAGTATGGTAGAACAGTGTGCGTAGTTACAGATAGTCTTCAAAGCTGTTGTTCTGTTAATGTAGTATTAACGAGGCGTCTGAAATAATATAGTAGGCATGAAATATTCTCAAAATAAAGAATATTTTACTTGGTACCATAACAAATACCTCTGTTTTGAGATTACTGATTAAAAAAAACCCTCTTGGAAGAAGGGCCTCTGTGTTGTAGCTTAAGTATGGGATGTCAGATGTCTGAAATGATTCCGCAATATCCTCATTTCACATTTTGTAATTACTTACATGGTTTGAACTTGTACTGGTATCTGTTTAGAGAGAGGGTGTACGTGTAGCTGTGCAGTCACCTTCAAAGATGCATTTTACATTTTTTGGAATCTGGATTTGTCATACTTAAAAAAAAAAAAAAAAAAAAAATCCAGACCAAACAGACTTAGTTTGCTTTACCTTATAAAAATGTCATTGCTCTGTGCATTTGTTGCTGGTTGGGAAGCTCTTCCCTTTACATGAAAGAATGAAAGTTAAATGAAAGTGCCAGCCGGCTTCCTCCTCGGCCCCGCCTGCGGCTGCCAGAGTTTGGGGTGGCGGGGCCTGCCCCGGGCATTGGGGGCTGAGGCGCGCTGGAGGCAGGGCCGAGGAGGCACCGCGTGTCCTGGTGCTGCACTCCAGCCCCGGGGCAGTGTGAAGGCAGGCGGGTGCTGGGGTGGTGCTGCTGTGCAGCTGAACCACACCAAGTTCAGGGAACCAAGGCCCTTTGGGTATTTCTTGCCTTTGCCACTGCTTCTCTCAGATTTTTTTTTTTTTTTTTCTCCTCCCTTCTAACAAATGTGCTACTGAGCATTTGTGACTTGAGCTTAAATCGGTAAGAATCCTTGCTTGACTATTTAACAACTAAACAAGTGTAATCCACACCGGTGGGACAGGGAGATCTGCTGAACTAGCTGAACCAGACGCAAGAAGCGGCGATGCAGCAACGTAACGTTTGGGTTGGCCCCAGAGGCCCGGGACGGTGTCTGTGGCAGCTCTTGGCGTGAGCGCTTCCGTCGCTCCCATGTGCCTTGCAGTGAATACTGCTGCCAAATACTGCTGCTGTGCACGCTGACGTGCAGCCCCGGGCTCTGCTGCTGTCTGGAAATGGCTTTTGGGTGCTGGATTTATTTTCATTTAATTAGGCATCTCATTTGTTATAAAACCGCCAGATGCATAATGTCATATCTGGATATGACAATTAAGTGCCTTTAACTGGAAAAACACCTGAAGGTTGTGCAATAAGAATTGAAGAGGGTTTTTCTTGAATGTGGCCTGAAATCAAAGTATAAAATCTACTGTAGTTAATCAACATTTAAAATTGATTAATACGTGGTTTTATTGACGTAGGAATCTACAGTCCCTCCATCCTGTCAGAGATAAATTCCCTGTAGTTAAAAGTAGATTTGTATTTTCCTGTAATTATTTCTGCCTTACCTGGGAGATCCTGTTTTCATGTTCTAGCGCAGACAACCTGTCTGCTTAGGCAATAGTAAAACACGCAAAATAAAGTGTAAGGATTGAGGTGGAAGATACTTTTTCATACTTAGTATGGTACAGTAGTGTGACCACGTGGGTTTTTTTTTTCCCTATAGACTTTAATTCTCATCTTTCAATTAATGGGAGTTCATCCTCTTTCTGTGGGAGAGTATTACAAAGTGTAATAGAATGAATAACCCGCATTTTCTTCAGCATATGGCAGGAGCGAGTGAAGCAGGCCAATAACAGATTTAACAAGCCTGATGTCTACGAAGAACGTTATTGCACTTGAAAATCAGAAAAAACAAAGGACAAGAGTAATCTTTAAAAATGTCAGTCACTGGTTGTTGGATTTAGGACTTAAAATAGCTTGTAATGGCATGTGTAACTTGGCAGGTTTGTATGCTTGCTCTGTTATAAAACGTCTATATACCTGTGTTCTGAAAGGGTAATATAGCATTGCTTGGTGATGCCTAAGTTCCTTTTTAAAATGTTCAATGAAGTTAATTGTATTTAGCTGAAGGTAAAACCCACGTGCTGCAGTATTTTGACTCCGCAAATGGTTAGGGACAGGAATTGCTGGTTAGGATTTAGCTGAGGCTGTGCCAGCAGCTTGCAGGAGAGCTTGGCCGAGGAGCCCTCTGCAGCTGCCCGCGGCCTTGCTCTGCAACCGCTCGCACTTCAGAGGGGAGCTGCCCGCGCTGTGGAGTTGGGGTTCTGCTTTCCACATCGCGAAGGTGTTAAACAAACAACGTGTGCCTGGTCATGCCTCAGGGGCTGCGCTTGCCTTGTGCTGACCGTGTGGTTACCGAGCGTCGTCCCTCGTGGCTTTGGGTCTCAGCTGAGGAGAGGTGGAAGACGCTTTGGTCCTGTCCGAGAGAGCAGCTGTGCGTCCTGCAGCCGCCTTCAAGGTACTGCCACGTCCTCTTGAGCCAAAGGGTGGAGTGATGCTCCGAACTGTACTGCTGCCTTAACCTTGTTAAGGAAGGCCTAGTGCTGCTCGTGCTGGCAGGGAAAGGTCAGCGCAGATGGAGCCTCCCAGTGCCCGTGGCCGCCAGCCCCTTCCGAGTGTCGTTTGTAATTTGTGTCATAGTGCACCGTGCGCCTGCCAGGCTGCTGGTGTCTCTCAGGTTTTCTGGTTTATTTTGCTGCAGATTTAGTGCCGGCACAAGGCGGAAATGGTGAGGAAAGAAGAATTAGTTGAATTGGTGTCCTGAGTACTTCTTGCAATGCCAAATAATGTTTCAGGTCCCAAGGTTGCAGCTTTGAGCAGGTATGGTTATTGAAAACCAGTGCATTTCAAATGCGAACTGTCTGGGAACAGGTGTATTCCAGAGCAAGTCCCGGCTCCCAAATAGGTTTTAGGATGCAGAGACAGACTCTGTTGAACAGGTAGCATTAGGCCTTAAAGGCCAACTTCATGTTTCTTTGAACAGATGAAAATGTCAGCTAGGAGCCTTTGTCATCGTGGTCCAGACTGGTGCAGTTGCTTCCAGAATACATTTTTTTTTTTTTTTTTAAGTTTGCAATTCGAGCAAAATAACAACGAAGAAGGCTGAAAATGGTGGATGGAAGCATTGGAGAATAGACACTGTAGTGAGAGACTGTGTCAGTTTAGTTTAATAAGAGATGAAGGAATAAGTTCAGCATCTGTCAGTACTTCTGCAGAGAGTGGAAAATACAGTGTGCAACAAGATGGCTTGAAACCTTCGTGTGGGGAAGGTCGAGAGTGCAGAGAATTAAGCACCCATCTGTGTTCTGCGAGTGCCTGAGGCTGCTCAGGCTGCACATTTCTGTGCCCCTGAGAAACAATTGCCGTAGGAAAAAATAAAAGAAAATTTTCAAAAATAAAAAATACTCTGGTTATAGCCATCTCTTGGGAATTCAGTCCGCTAAATTGTGTCGTGTCGCTCTTAAATGTCTTCCTAACCTGCACTAACCTGCAGCTTGTGTCCTTTGTGTTACATAGAGCAATGAGGAAGCGAGGTTACCGAATTGGGAAGAACAGACCTTGGAGTGGAAACTCAAGGAGTCGGATTGTGTGATCAGCACTAATGTAATTGTATGCTAGATAGCGATTTTAAATTAGGGCCACTTTCAAATGTGGCTCATTTAAATGCTGGTGTTTACTCGAGACCTGGCGGATGGTAGGTCTGTCAGCAGCTTACTCTGTGTTCGGAGGGAACCCGATCCGTCCAGCTTGCCCAGCTAGCTCCTCTGCAAGGCAGAGTGCCCAAAAATCAGGAGCTGTGTCCAGATGAAGCAAAAACTATCTCAATAGTTTCATTTTTTTTGTTTATTTTTTTCTTGTTGTTACTGTGTTTAGTGAGCAAAAAGTGTGTTTTTCCCTTTAAATGCCCGTGTAACTAGTTGGCTCCAGGATGTGTTTTGGTGGCAGCTGAGGCTCTTGGGAGGCCTCTGGGTGCAGCTTTATACACCTTCCTGGCACCAGGGAACTCTGTTGTGTTACTGGAGAGGAGGGAAATGTCCCCAGTGTGGTGGCAATGGGAACAGCCCAGCTCCTGCTCTGAACCTTGTGTGATTGTGTTTTTACTACTTTGACCTGAATAATTTCTTTTGTACATTGCAGTTGGTTTTCCTCTTCTTTCCTTCCCCTTTCCCTCGTGTCTCTGTTCTTTTGTGTTTCTTAAACTCTGGCTGATCCTGTCCTGTGTTCTTCTAACTTTTAGCTGGCCAGGTAGGAGCTATTCCCTGTATCTTCTCAAGCATTTGTCCATCCCAGTGGAAGGAAAGTGCTCCGAGCTGGGACACAGAACTCCCGACAGGGCTTCCTCCTGATAGTTTTATAATCATTTCTCTTGTCATCTTCATAATACTTGTTGAATAAATCTTCTGACCTTCTTGCCCCTTTCTTGCTGCAGATGAAGACTGGTTTTCCTTTGTCATGTCACCAGAATTGAAACAAATTCCCTTTAGTTGTCATGAGTTCTGTTTTCCAGCATTGCATCCGAGCACCGTTCTATGCTCCCCCAAGCCACTTCACTGACCGTTTCTGAAATCCATTTACTTGGTTCTTTATGAGCTCGTGTGGATGGTGCCCATTATAGTCGCACTCCAGGGCAAGCGGATCATCCTTTGCCAGCACGGTTCAGGCAGCTGGGGCGATTGCAGTCTCACTACCAAAACAGCTTGAAGCAGCTTCCCTGGGGCGCTGCCCAAACCTCCTCCCTCTTCTCCTTGTCCCGATCCTTAAGAACCACCCGAGCAATGTCTTCCTTTTTGCGTTTTTTCCCCCCACATGTAACTGGATAGTCCTTTAACCAGCCCAGGTGCGCCCCGGAATCCTTCCCGTGGAGCAGCGCCTGCGTTGCCCCGGCCCCTGGCTGACCGAGTCCTGTTTCTTTACATAACAGCTGCGTTGCCCCGGCCCCTGGCTGACCGGGTCCTGTTTCTTTACATAACAGTAATAGTTACAGCTGAATATACTCTGTGGGCGGTGTGCTAGGATCTGCGTTGCCCCGGCCCCTGGCTGACCGAGTCCTGTTTCTTTACATAACAGTAGTTACAGCTGAATATACTCTGTGGGCGGTGTGCTAGGATGCTTTACATGGCTCTGACGTAACCTTTGGATATGCAGCTCAATAGAGTTTCCCAATTTGGTTGCTATACCCTAAAAAGTTCTCAACAAGCTATCCTGTGTTCTTCTGCCTGACTTATCTTGATGCTGTCTTTAACTCTCACATTTACTTATTCCTACGTGTATAACCCTGCAGGAAATCTTTACTGCAATTGTCTGAAATGTTTTTGGGTCCTTTTGTGCTCCTCATTTTCAGTTATTCCTGATTAATGTCTAATTTTAATTAATGCACTATGTACTTTTGATTTTGCATCAATGTTGCTAAGGCTGGTTCTTTTCATTAAATGCATCCTCTTTCTTAACCTCCCAAGTTTGGTAGTACTCATAAAACTGGAAATAATGTTTTAGCTCTGGCAGAGCAAATAAAAAGGTAATACTTGGAGCTTTTCATATGACTCCATTTTCCTTTGTTTGGCAATTTGTGTTGGCAGAGAGGGAAAGCTGAGCATGTAGTAGTGATGGATAGTTGTCTGGATCTCCTATAATTGGGATATGTCAGTGTTTTCAAATCTATGTATCTCCCCAAGTGCATCAGATAAAGATACTGGTGACAACAGTGTCTGATTTACTCCTAGATCAAAATGATTCTTTTGTGTATTTCTTAGTAAAAACATGAATAAATATTTTGAGAAGTGCTCAGAAGTACTCTAGAATAAATGCGTTAACTGTGTTCCATTTGAGTCTGGAGGTGGTTTTTGATTTTTGCCACTCTTGCGGAGAAACTACCTAATTACAAAATCTCTCCTATTTGGCTTAACAGTTGCAAATAGTTTTCCTTAATTTTGTTCTTTCATTGCTGCTTCAAAATTGCAACTGATTTTAAATTTTACTGGATTTACTGGATTTTAAATTTTACACCAGCAAAGCTGGTGTTCTTGGAAACTGTTCTTACCAAAGATGTATGTAGTTAAAAGTGCTGAACAGAATGTAAGTGCAGTCAGTGTTGGACTGAACTACGAAGTCTTTGTGTGATCCACGGTCTCTGCGCTATGCGTCGTGCCATAGGTGCTCACGTTCAATGACATACGAAACACTGACATCAAGAAACACGGACATCTTGGCAAGACTTTTAGTAACATCCTAGAACAGGGTTACTTTTCCTGTACCTGGACTATTTACCTTAAAGGTAGATATATAGCATTAGAATTTTATTTTTAGCATTTTGAGGTTAATTTACATTCGAATACGTGTGTGTGTGTGTTTTTTTTTTTTTTTTTAAAAAAGTTTAGGTGACCATTTGATAAATATAGCAAATGCATGGGGGAATTTATCTGTTTTGTTCTTACAGTAACAAAACCTTTTAGGAGAGCAAATTTTCTTGCATCAAAAGCTGCAACTGTTGATCAAGATCACAAGTTTAGATGCAAGTTTTTGGACTGTTCAAAATCCTTCCGCAAAGCCAAGTTATTGCATTATCACATGAAATATTTTCATGGAGTGGACAAGGCTGCAGAATCACGGCAGAACCCAGTAAAAAGAAATATTCAAACTAGAAGTTCTTTGGCTTCTGAAAGAGCTAATCAAGAGAGATCTAGAAGAGGACGGACTACAGTTGTTTCCATGTGTAAGTATTGTGCTCATCTGTTCGTGCTTTTTTGTTTTGTTTTGTTTTTTCTTTAGCATCAGCAGGCAGGACCAGCCAGTAGAGCAACAGTCAGTTTTCTTCCATTGCACATTAGGCCAAAGGAGTCTCTTTAGGGCTCCATCTTCTGTATTTCATGTGTCTTCAGCAGTTCTTCATTTTAGAGAAGGAGAAACAGAATGGCATGTTTATACATGTTTAAGAAAAGGGAAATTTAAAGAGGTTCCCTCCCTTAGCTTGTCTTACACTCTTGTAGAACCCTCAGCATTAAACCTTTGTTCCTTTCTACTCAATTTACATTTTATTTCTTACTTGGTCTCACGTTGCATGGTGTGACTTTATGATGATATTGGTCTAGAAATCTGGTGCTGATTTCTGCAGCATTTACAGTTCTTGTTGCTGGACTTTTGGAAGAAGAACCCTGGCATTAGCAACGCAGCAGTAGCAATTTGTTGCAAGATCCTTGTACAACTAATGGGTAGTTGAAACAAAATAATCTCGGTGGTTTAAAAAGAAAAAGAAGAAAATGCTTATGTTTATAACTGCTTTGCAGCCTTGAGAATTGTGTTGGTCAACTTCTGCTTCTCGATTCGCCCTCCCAAGTGCCTGTTTTCTTTGTATCTTACAAAGATACTGTCCTTTTTGTCTGCACTTCCTTGTGAAAGAAGTGCTGCTGACAACTCATGTCCATGCTCCTGTGAACTTGGTTCTTTTCATGCTGCAGTTCCATATGAATTGTCACATCTATTTTGTCTTCTGATTGAGCCCATTTTACAACATCTGACTGCCTCTCTGCTGAAATCCTTGCCCTTGCATATGCCTCTCAATGTCTTTGCATTTGAGCTTTCATTAAGATTCTCTGTAAATACTTAGACTCTTCACAGTCTCGCAACCCGTTCCCAGAACCGTAGCTCACTGTAGCAGAACGTATCCAGTCCTACTTCGCTTCATGTCCCTCTGCCCTTGCTGACATGTCCAATGAATGCTTTCTTCATTTGAGATGCTGCTCCTTTCTAGTAGATGAACTAACTAACACCCTGTTGCTGCATGTAAGCCTCTGTACGCCAGCCACTTCAGCAGCTCCAAGCAGTGCCAAGGCTCTCGCGACGCCGCTGGGGCATCGAGCAGGCTGCCTGCCCGCCGCACGCTTTTCCTTAAGGGATTTCTAGTCTGCTGTCGGTGACACTGCTTAGTTGCTTCAGCTGGAGAATTTATTTTGCTGTGATTATCTGGTATTATCTGGAATCCAGCTCTGGACCCTTGCACCTCCCCTGTCCCCCCGGCACACAGTGCTGCTTTGGCACCGTCGCCTTGGCTGTGCTGGGTTGTCAGTGCATCTCCAGTGCATGGTCACTCTTAACGTGGAGCACTCTTAACCGTGCTGCACTTTGCAAGTGGCTTTCAGCACAACTGGGGGCTCCCAGTGAATGGGGAAGCAGGGGACAAGGTGGAATGTAGGGTTGGCAAGTCACCATTCTTGTCTGAGCCTGCTGCTGTGCAGCTGCCACAAGGTTCTGATTGACAGGGAAAGGTAATGTCGCTGTAACTCTTCATCATGCATCTCTGTCATTGAACGCCATCTGTTCTTGAACTCAGTGTGTTCTTAATTATTCCAATTTTTGTTCTACTGGTACCAAAAATGATGTAGAAAAGCATGTGCTGCCTCCTTGGGCTTGTGCTGTCATTTTGGCTTTACGTGCTGTTACACTATGTCCTGTTTTCCTATCCTTTCTAAAGGATCTTTTATGTTCTTAATTGCATTTCTAGGAAGGTAACCTGTAAGCAAGGTTCTGTTTATGCCTACTGAGCATTTTTGTTATCTTTGAAAAGGGATTTCAGGATGTGCTGCTTAATGAGAATACAGGCATTCAAATACATAACTATAAGTATGGTACATGATGGGTTTGCTTGTATTTGCAATGGGTTTTGTGATTCTAGTGATTCTAGAAAAAAAGTTGTTGTTCAACTTGTACTTCAAGTTCAAATGTACTTATTAAAAGCATTATACTTTTTTATGCAGGCGTCTAGTAAAATATTTTGCTATAAGGTACGTGTTAGTGCTTAAGTTAGCAAAAACTTCCAACTGACAAAAGACTAGAAATGAGTCTTTATTTCCCCCATGAGATGCTCTGGCTTTAGAGTCTGTCTCACAAGATTGTTTCGAAGTTTTCAAATTCTTCAAACTTGATCTGAAAGGAGCAGTAAAGCTTTAAAAAGTGTGGGTGGGTGGGGAATTATTGACTAAATCTAATGTGCAACCACTTAGTTTTCTTTACGTTGTAGGAAATTATGCAGCACTCAATTGGAAACACTTTATTCTTTCTCTCCTGATTAAAATTAAAGTTCTGACAAACTGAAAAGAATAACTCTTCATGGACTGTGTTATGGCAGGTGAGAAAGAACATAAATCAAAGTAGAGTTGCCCTGCACCGGGATGGAGACTGAAGATGCGGTGTTTGTACAGTGGCGAGTTTTGCCACTTCGTGTTGCCCTCAAAACTTTGAGCTACTAAAGTTAATTTGGAACCAACTTGCCCTGTCTCCCCCTCATGTTTCCAAGGGAATTTTTAGCCATGGTAAATTTGATTTGCATCTTTCCAAATCTGTATTTTTTTTCCTTAATGAAGAGAGGAGAAACAACTGCCATTGCTTAATTTGTAGTTTAGAGGTTACCCGCTTGCCTGAACAGCGTGGTGCAGACATAAATGCGTTCTGGGGAGATTCAGGCAATACCTCCTTTTTCTAATTTATCAGGTAAGTAGAAGACCATCGTATTCAAATAGGTTGTTGTCTTATTGTCTCTTCTTCCGTGCCTGTTTTGGCAGTGCTAATATCTGTGTAGATTGCTACTATTTGGCCTTTCCTAACCCATTTTATATGTTTTTTTTTTTTTTTTTAATTCTAATAGTAATGCTTGTGCCTGAATTAGACCTTTCCAAGGGCAGGAAGTGTAGACTAGATGTGAGACTTATTCATTTTTTTCCCTGTTGTCTTCTCATAACTTGGTGAGCATCTGAAGTATGACTTGTTTCTTGAGTTTGAGTCTTTCTGAATTGGTGGTTTTCACTTCTTCCCTTTATTAAAATCTTTTCATTTAGAGGTTCAACAAATCTTTACTCCTTATGGCAGGGCTGTCTCTTCATTTGGCCATGGTAAGTGCGGACTGAACCACTTTTCCAGTCATCGGTCACTTTTTCCTAGCCATAGTCTTGGAAACTGTCTACTCCGTTAACATATTATGACACATTGTAGCTTAATAGCAGGAATACATGTAAGCAAAGAGGTCTTATTTTTACTCCTGTTCCCCTATCTCAAGATACCGAATTTTGGTTCTGGAGCAGACATCTTCATGGGAATCAAGGGCAGCTTTAGGAGGCTGTGGTTGCTGGAGCTCCTAACAGGAGCCTTTGAGGTTCGTTTTGTTTCTCTTTAGTACAGACTCATGGTACAGGCCTGACTTGTTGCCCGGGGATCCCAGAAGTGTGCATGCTTAGACGGAATTGCAAGAGAAGTTAGTTACAGCAGTACCAACAGTTCAAGGTGTTGACCCTACAAATACAGATACAAATACAAATCTGCGCTCTGCGTCTGCTTCTCTTGAAGCTCTACAAAACGATAGCTCTGTGACTGAGAAGAAACAGCAGTGGGATGTGCTCTGTGGGAAGGAAGCTTGGCTCGGTGAAGGAGGATAAAAGCGAAGTGTCAGCTGAATGTGAAGACTTTTCAAGCTCTGGTTATAACATTGCTTACATGTTTGGCTTTTTTCTCAGAGACACTCTTGCAAAGCAGTTGATTTAATGCGTAAACTTAGGTTACTGGAGTAACCTAGATGATTATGTTCTCCTGTAATAATACTCCTTCCCTTTTTTCCGGATGGTTGAAGCCCTTGTAGGGCAATGCATGCTTCTAGAGAACTGTTTCAAACAGAACTCAGTTTTCAGTCATTTCATCAAACTAATTTTCATGGTTTACAAATACATAACATGACTTTCTGGGTTTTAAATGTCGTAAGGGAAGACAAACGGCCCACGAAGCCACCTATATGATGCTAAAAACTTTCTGCTTATTCCAAGGAAAGGATAAGCAATAGAGATGTTAACACAGTGTGGCTGCCGGGGGTTGCCTGACCTGTATCAGACAGTGCCATTCCTGTGGAAATGGGCTGTGATGAAAATTCTCTGTCCTGCTGTAGCTGCTGAGAAGCACCGGATCAAGTGACCGGAGGCAACCGGCTGTTACTTACATTGTGACAAAGGCCTCTCTTTCCTTGAGATTCTAGTGGAACTTGGGTGGGAGAGAACCAGAGAGATTCACTTGATGGTCTGTAGACTTCTGGATCTTTGAGCCTTGAAGGGACTCGCTTGATTCTGAAAGTTCACTACTGAGACATCTTAATATACTTCCTTTTAGTTTCAGCTTGAAATTTTTGTCAGGCCAAAGTGCTTTATTCCATTTCTTGCTTGGACTATGCTGTCTAGGACTCTTTCTTTCTGTTTTCTTTAGCTGCTGCTCAGGGTGTTGCAATTAGAGATGTCCAAATGAAAATCCCATGAGCACTTATGTCTGCAGACAGGAAAGGAATCTTTTCAATGGCCCCGAGTACTGAAAGTCAACGGCAAACGGCAGGGTTCCTCCCTGCTGGGGCCCAGCCGGCCTGCGTGTCGCGCAGCCGGAGCTTCTGTCGTCGTCTTTTTGCCATGTCCAGGAGTGATTCTGTAGAAAGATTGGCTAGCTGCTAGAAGAAATACAGCAGGAGATGAGAATTACTTAGCTTATTGAAATGGTAAATGGTGGCTCAGACAAAGCTAAGTCTGTGTATCATGCTTGTGGTTTTTTAATTTTTTTTAATCTAATAATCTTCTACTCTTGCATCTCAGTTGCATGCGACTTCTGCATTTAAAAACTGCCCTTCCTTAAATGTGCAGAGCTGCTGTAGGCCACTTGAATTAGCTTCATTTAAAGTACACTTTTGAGAACAGGCTGTGGTTTCTGCAAAGTAGTTAAGAAAGAAGAAAAGAGATTCTTTTGATTTATAAAATAGTCTGAATGTGT